GCTCTGGGTGGTGCGGCTCTGGGTGGTGCGGCTCTGGGTGGTGCGGCTCTGGGTGGTGTGGCTCTGGGTGGTGCGGCTCTGGGTGGTGCAGCTCTGGGTGGTGCGGCTCTGGTGGTGCGGCTCTGGGTGGTGCAGCTCTGGGTGGTGCGGCTCTGGGTGGTGCGGCTCTGGGTGGTGCAGCTCTGGGTGGTGTGGCTCTGGGTGGTGCGGCTCTGGGTGGTGCAGCTTGGGTGGTGTGGCTCTGGGTGGTGCGGCTCTGGGTGGTGCGGCTCTGGGTGGTGCGGCTCTGGGTGGTGCGGCTCTGGGTGGTGCGGCTCTGGGTGGTGTGGCTCTGGGTGGTGAGGCTCTGGGTGGTGTGGCTCTGGGTCATGCGGCTCTGGGTGGTGCGGCTCTGGGTGGTGCGGCTCTGGGTGGTGCAGCTCTGGGTGGTGTGGCTCTGGGTGGTGCGGCTCTGGGTGGTGTGGCTCTGGGTGGTGCGGCTCTGGGTGGGTGGCTCTGGGTGGTGCGGCTCTGGGTGGTGCGGCTCTGGGTGGTGTGGCTCTGGGTGGTGTGGCTCTGGGTGGTGAGGCTCTGGGTGGTGTGACTCTGGGTGGTGTGACTCTGGGTGGTGAGACTCTGGGTGGTGAGACTCTGGGTGGTGTGGCTCTGGGTGGTGGACTCTGGGTGGCGTGACTCTGGGTGGTGCGGCTCTGGGGTGAGACTCTGGGTGGTGTGGCTCGGGTGGTGCGGCTCTGGGTGGTGCGGTCTGGGTGGGTGGCTCTGGGTGGTGCGGCTCTGGGTGGTGTGGCTCTGGGTGGTGCGGCTCTGGGTGGTGCGACTCTGGGTGGTGTGGCTCTGGGTGGTGTGGCTCTGGGTGGTGCGGCTCTGGGTGGTGCGGCTCTGGGTGGTGCGGCTCTGGGTGGTGTGGCTCTGGGTGGTGTGGCTCTGGGTGGTGCGGCTCTGGGTGGGTGGCTCTGGGTGGTGCGGCTCTGGGTGGTGTGGCTCTGGGTGGTGCGGCTCTGGGTGGTGTGGCTCTGGGTGGTGCGGCTCTGGGTGGTGTGGCTCTGGGTGGTGCGGCTCTGGGTGGTGTGGCTCTGCGTGGTGCGGCTCTGGGTAGTGCGGCTCTGGGTGGTGCGGCTCTGGGTGGTGTGGCTCTGGGTGGTGCTCTGGGTGGTGTGGCTCTGGGTGGTGCGGCTCTGGGTGGTGTGGCTCTGGGGGTGTGCTCTGGGTAGTGCGGCTCTGGGTAGTGCGGCTCTGGGTCATGCGGCTGGGTCATGCGGCTCTGGGTGGTGCGGCTCTGGGTGGTGCGGCTCTGGGTGGTGCGGCTCTGGGTGGTGTGGCTCTGGGTGGTGTGGCTCTGGGTGGTGCGGCTCTGGGTGGTGTGGCTCTGGGTGGTGCGGCTCTGGGTGGTGCGGCTCTGGGTGGTGCGGCTCTGGGTGGTGTGGCTCTGGGTGGTGTGGCTCTGGGTCATGCGGCTCTGGGTGGGTGGCTCTGGGTGGTGCGGCTCTGGGTGGTGCGGCTCTGGGTGGTGCGGCTCTGGGTGGTGCGGCTCTGGGTGGTGTGGCTCTGGGTGGTGCGGCTCTGGGTGGTGCGGCTCTGGGTCATGTGGCTCTGGGTGGTGCGGCTCTGGGTGGTGCGGCTCTGGGTGGTGTGGCTCTGGGTGGTGAGGCTCTGGGTGGTGTGGCTCTGGGTGGTGTGGCTCTGGGTCATGGCTCTGGGTCATGTGGCTCTGGGTGGTGCGGCTCGGGTGGTGAGACTCTGGGTGGTGTGGCTCTGGGTCATGTGACTCTGGGTGGTGTGGCTCTGGGTGTGCGGCTCTGGGTGGTGTGGCTCTGGGTGGTGCGGCTCTGGGTGGTGCGGCTCTGGGTCATGTGGCTCTGGGTGGTGCGGTCTGGGTGGTGCGGCTCTGGGTCATGTGGCTCTGGGTGGTGTGGCTCTGGGTGGTGGGGCTCTGGTGGTGCGGCTCTGGGTCATGCGGCTCTGGGTCATGTGGCTCTGGGTGGTGCGGCTCTGGGTGGTGCGGCTCTGGGTCATGTGGCTCTGGGTGGTGCGGCTCTGGGTGGTGTGGCTCTGGGTGGTGCGGCTCTGGGTCGTGTGGCTCTGGGTGGTGCGGCTCTGGGTGGTGAGACTCTGGGTGGTGCGGCTCTGGGTCATGTGGCTCTGGGTGGTGTGGCTCTGGGTGGTGGGCTCTGGGTGGTGGGGCTCTGGGTGGTGTGGCTCTGGGTGGTGCGGCTCTGGGTGGTGTGGCTCTGGGTGGTGCGGCTCTGGGTGGTGAGACTCTGGGTGGTGCGGCTCTGGGTCATGTGGCTCTGGGTGGTGGCTCTGGGTGGTGTGGCTCTGGGTGGTGGGGCTCTGGGTGGTGTGGCTCTGGGTGGTGCGGCTCTGGGTGGTGAGGCTCTGGGTGGTGTGACTCTGGGTGGTGTGACTCTGGGTGGTGAGACTCTGGGTGGTGAGACTCTGGGTGGTGTGGCTCTGGGTGGTGTGACTCTGGGTGGCGTGACTCTGGGTGGTGCGGCTCTGGGTGGTGAGACTCTGGGTGGTGTGGCTCTGGGTGGTGCGGCTCTGGGTGGTGCGGCTCTGGGTGGTGTGGCTCTGGGTGGTGCGGCTCTGGGTGGTGTGGCTCTGGGTGGTGCGGCTCTGGGTGGTGCGACTCTGGGTGGTGTGGCTCTGGGTGGTGTGGCTCGGGTGGTGCGGCTCTGGGTGGTGCGGCTCTGGGTGGTGCGGCTCTGGGTGGTGTGGCTCTGGGTGGTGTGGCTCTGGGTGGTGCGGCTCTGGGTGGTGTGGCTCTGGGTGGTGCGGTGGGTGGTGTGGCTCTGGGTGGTGCGGCTCTGGGTGGTGTGGCTCTGGGTGGTGCGGCTCGGGTGGTGTGGCTCTGGGTGGTGCGGCTCTGGGTGGTGTGGCTCTGCGTGGTGCGGCTCTGGGTAGTGCGGCTCTGGGTGGTGCGGCTCTGGGTGGTGTGGCTCTGGGTGGTGCGGCTCTGGGTGGTGTGGCTCTGGGTGGTGCGGCTCTGGGTGGTGTGGCTCTGGGTGGTGTGGCTCTGGGTAGTGCGGCTCTGGGTAGTGCGGCTCTGGGTCATGCGGCTCTGGGTCATGCGGCTCTGGGTGGTGCGGCTCTGGGTGGTGCGGCTGGGTGGTGCGGCTCTGGGTGGTGTGGCTCTGGGTGGTGCGGCTCTGGGTGGTGCGGCTCTGGGTGGTGTGGCTCTGGGTGGTGCGGCTCTGGGTGGTGCGGCTCTGGGTGGTGTGGCTCTGGGTGGTGTGGCTCTGGGTCATGCGGCTCTGGGTGGTGTGGCTCTGGGTGGTGCGGCTCTGGGTGGTGCGGCTCTGGGTGGTGCGGCTCTGGGTAGTGCGGCTCTGGGTGGTGTGGCTCTGGGTGGTGCGGCTCTGGGTGGTGCGGCTCTGGGTCATGTGGCTCTGGGTGGTGCGGCTCTGGGTGGTGCGGCTCTGGGTGGTGTGGCTCTGGGTGGTGCGGCTCTGGGTGGTGTGGCTCTGGGTGGTGTGGCTCTGGGTCATGTGGCTCTGGGTCATGTGGCTCTGGGTGGTGCGGCTCTGGGTGGTGAGACTCTGGGTGGTGTGGCTCTGGGTCATGTGACTCTGGGTGGTGTGGCTCTGGGTGGTGCGGCTCTGGGTGGTGTGGCTCTGGGTGGTGCGGCTCTGGGTGGTGTGGCTCTGGGTGATGTGGCTCTGGGTGGTGTGGCTCTGGGTGGTGGGGCTCTGGGTGATGTGGCTCTGGGTGGTGTGGCTCTGGGTGGTGTGGCTCTGGGTGGTGCGGCTCTGGGTCATGCGGCTCTGGGTCATGTGGCTCTGGGTGGTGCGGCTCTGGGTGGTGCGGCTCTGGGTCATGGTCGGGTGGTGCGGCTCTGGGTGGGTGTGGCTCTGGGTGGTGCGGCTCTGGGTCGTGTGGCTCTGGGTGGTGCGGCTCTGGGTGGTGAGACTCTGGGTGGTGCGGCTCTGGGTCATGTGGCTCTGGGTGGTGTGGCTCTGGGTGGTGGGGCTCTGGGTGGTGGGGCTCTGGGTGGTGTGGCTCTGGGTGGTGCGGCTCTGGGTGGTGTGGCTCTGGGTGGTGCGGCTCTGGGTGGTGAGACTCTGGTGGTGCGGCTCTGGGTCATGTGGCTCTGGGTGGTGTGGCTCTGGGTGGTGTGGCTCTGGGTGGTGGGGCTCTGGGTGGTGTGGCTCTGGGTGGTGCGGCTCTGGGTGGTGCGGCTCTGGGTGGTGCGGCTCTGGGTGGTGTGGCTCTGGGTGGTGCGGCTCTGGCTGGTGGGGCTCTGGGTGGTGCGGCTCTGGGTGGTGCGGCTCTGGGTGGTGTGGCTCTGGGTGGTGCGGCTCTGGGTGGTGCGGCACTGGGTGGTGCGGCTCTGGGTGGTGCGACTCTGGGTGGTGCGGCTCTGGGTGGTGCGAGTGATATTTGGTTGCTATAGATTTCCACGTGATAAGCCACTTTGCTGAACGATCATTTGTGGCCAGGTCGCTTCTGAAAAATAAGTGAATGCATCGGTGGGCTTTGCCTGGTAGGATGGGGATGGCTTCGTTTAATTTGGATGTGTTTAGGTGACCTGTTCGCTCTTTCTTGTACTCCTATCGTGTTTTTGTATTGTTTGGCGTCGTAACGTTCTTACCTCGCGCCCCTTCTGGACATCTGTGGAAAAGAGCTTCACAGGCTCATCGGATTCCTCCTCCAGCATAAATAAAGATTGTGTTTCTCCGCTGCACTCACCGAGCGAGCTGTCGGAGGCCGAGCTCTCGTCGTCGCTCCAGACTTCTTCGTCTCGCTCAAACTCGCGCCGGAAGCTCGAGGCCACAACATGTCTGCACGCATGCACGGACAAAGATATAGGCTCCCCCGTGTAGCCTTAATAGACTGAGGCTGAGTCGACCTAGTGGAGGCCCAGGACCGGTTAAGATGTATATACATGTTAAACTTCTTTTGAACGGTACATAGCCAACCGTGCTAATCGGACGTGCGATTAGCACGATAATCGTCACTGGCGTTCATGACCGTGAGCGGGAATCGAACTCGGGTGGCCGGGTTTGTAGCGCGGCGTGCTAACCACTGCACTACCGCTCCCCAAACACAGACAAAGACAAGGCTCCCCCTCATAGCCTCAACAGACTGTCGGGGTAAGTGCTGTGGCGAGCACCTATGCAGGCCAGCACGGCACACGAGAGAGTGGGTGGGCGGCACCAGTGGCGATGTTTACACACCGCACCGGATACTCATTTGAGGCCGAGTCGACTTAGGGGAGGCCCAGGACCGGTTCAGATAATCGTCACAGGTGGTGGCCTTGAGAGATGAGTGACACGTACCCGTGCGTGAGTGACGAGTAACCTCACGTGTGCCAGTGACGTCTGCCCGCGTACCCGTTTTCGCGGTGGTGGCTGTTGGCTCCGCCCCCGTGCGGGAGCTCCTCCCACAGGAGGAGGCTCCGCCCCCCCGTGCCCCAGCGCTGCAGGCCGCTGGGGGTGCAGGTGGTGGCGACGCAGAGCAGGCGGGGGGTCGCCTCACCCCCCAGCGTCGCTACGTACGGCTCCCCGCCCTCCGCGAGCAGCCGCACTGAATGCACGGGGGGGGGGGGGGGGCAGGGGAGGGGCAACGGGCGAGAGGACGGAGACACGAAACTAAAACTCATCTTCTTGGATCTTTCGGTAAAGTCACGTAGAATTGAAATAATAAAAATAAAAATAAAACATAATAAAATAATTCTCACGACGTTTCGGCCACAACCGAAAGAACCAAGAAGATGAATCCCTGCAGTCACGAAAGCTTTAAATAGAAACTAGAACTTTTTTTTATTTTATCAGGTAAGGGCCACTGAGCTATATCGCTTGTTTTTAGAAGCGACCTGGCCATCACAAATGATAGCTCAACTAAGTGGCTTATCGCGTGGACATCTACAGCAGCCAAATACTGCAAACGCGTGCGGTTAATTCGAAATGAGGGAAAAACCGGAGGACCCGGAGAAAAATCGACTCGACTACGAAGGAGAGAGAGAGAGACACGTAAACTCCAAACATACCGCAGGCATTAGGGTCGGGATCGAACCAACGACTTCCTGCACACCAGGCGCCACGGTGGCGGGAGCAGTGGCTGCTCAGGTGCAGAGGTCGCAACCGGGTACCCGATACCCGTACCCTACCCGATACCCGGCTACCCGTACCCGGCTGGGTACGGGTACGGGTACCCGTTTGCGACCCTGGTGCGGCCGGGTACGGGTAGGCCGTGAGTCACTGGTGAGTAACTGTTTGTCACTCATTTCCCAACGTCTTGTCTCTTCTCACAATTCAAGTTCCTAGAATCAACCCACCCGCGCCTGCAACATGGCTTCATCCCAGAGGTCGCAATCAGGTACCCGATACCCGTACCATACCCGTGCCCGGCCGGGTACGGGTACGGCCGGGTATGGGTACCCGTTTGCGACCCTGGTGCGGCCGGGAAACGGGTGGGGTAAGGAATCAAAACCCGTTTGCGACCTCTGCCCCACCGCTCACCGTTGATGTAGCCGTGACCTCGGTCAATGTCGTAGCCCGCGGACAGCATCAGGCGAGTGCCGCCATCGCCGCCATCGCTTGCCATGGACAGGCAGTCGGTGAAGCCGCAGTCGCTGTTGTGGTTGGGCAGCTTCCGCAATATGGAGCCTGATAGGGAGGGGGGTGGAGGGGAAGGGCGATAAGGGAGGGTTTCAAGTTGATTTTGCGTAACAAGGTTAAGAACTCAAGGGACCAGGATGAGTCTCATTTGCAAGAGAGACCTGGATCAACAAATGTACCGCACCTCCGATTAACACGGTTGGCTACTTACGGTGCGGAAGAAGTTCTACATACGTACACACACACACCACGGAGAGCATCTCTTATGTACAAGGGGATGGGCGACTAACGCCGTTAGATGTGACTTACCGAGCCACAGTCCTGCCCGAGCGGGACCCTGACCCCGTCCATGACCCCGACTGGGACACTGACCGTGCCCCGACCCTCACCAAGACTCCGACCTTGACCGTGACCCCGATCGCGACCCTCACCGCGACCTCGTGACACTGACCGCGACCCCGACCCCTGCCGCGACCCTCACCCGTCCGCCAGTCGAGGACCCGGATGCTGGCGCCTTCGTCGGCGGAGTAGAGGAGGCGGCCGTGGGGTCGCGGCCCCGCCAGGAGGCAGCGCAGGGGGGACGCGCCACGGCGGCGCCCGTCGGCGCTCCACTCCTCGCCCTCCGTGCAGAAGAGCAGGTGCAGGCGGGGGCCCGGGCGCAGCTCCCACACGCGCACCTGGCCATCCCGGCCACCCGTGCACGCCAGCGAGCCGTGCAGCTTGCGCCGAGGGCGGAAGGGGAGGAGCAAGCGAGAGACGAGAGAGAGATAGAGAGACAGAGGGAGAGCCCGAGGTGGAGGAAGAGATCGGAAGGTAGAGATGGGGAGAGAGACAGAGAGAAATGGGGAGATGGGGATGGAGAGAAATAGGCAGGGAAGAAGAAATGCATGGAGAGGGATGAGGAGACGGGGAGAGGAGATGGGGAGAGCGAGAAAGTGGCAGGGAAGGAGAGAAACATGGAGATAGGCAGGGAGACAGGGAGATGGGAGGAGAAAGATGGGAAGATGGAGAGAGAGAAAGAGGCATGGAAGGCAACAAGCGTGGACAGAGACAGGGAGCCGGGGAGATGTGTAGAGAGAGAGATAGATGGGGAGAGAGCCAGGGTGACAGGAAGATGGGGAGATGCAGAGATAGGTATACGGGGAGATATAGGGGTAGCGGATAGAGAGAGAGCAAACGTGAAGTGGGAGGAGTGAAGAAGAGGAGAGAGGGGAAAGAGAGGAGCAGGTTGGGGGAAAGCGGAGGAGAAAGTGAGGAAGAGAGATTACAAAAATAGAGAAAGAAAGAGTAGGAGGAGAATTTGGGGGAGAGAGGAAGAGGAGAGACAGACGCGGGGAGAGAGCGTGGGAGAGAGACGGGGAGAGATAACGGCCGTGTTAACACTTCCCTCTTGCGTCAGACACAAAGACACATGTGGACACACACGTGACAGGTCCTGGCCAAGCTGCATTGGCTTCCCCTTGCTGAATGAATACATTACACGGTCACACTCATCACACACAAAGTGCTTGCCACAAATAAACCACAACGCCTTGCATAAATCACCATGCAAACGGCGGTCATCCTCGCAGCCGCTTTTGGCTTGGCATCTAACAAATACATCGCGCGCTTTCAGATGCGCTTCTGCGGCCGTCTGGACTGCTCTTCCTTCTCATATTAGGAAGCCAATGGAGCTATCTTTCTATATATAAGTAAAACATCGTCTGCTTGTCGGTTTGTGGCTTTGTGTGTGTTCGCGCGATTGCGAAGGATTTGGCTCTCCAACGGTGGGGTTTACGTTGAATAAATAAAAGTAGCCGGGTACCACGCCGTAAGCCCAGCCGTGAGCAAGCGCTATTCCTTTTTCACATCCGTCAACTTGAAATTAGTTTATTTAGCGATTTAGTGCGATTTTTTTGCGCTATTTCTTAATTTATTTGTTCATGACGGGTGCACGACCATACCAACTCACGCGCCTTTGGTGGGGGGGATGGCCCATGCCAAGTCGCACGCCTTCCGTGGGAGTGAGGGGGACATTTTCTTTCGCGTAAAAAATGCTTTAAAAATACACTAAACACTGAGCTTAAATCTTCAGTGTGATGTCCCCCCCCACCCCCCGATGCGTGCAGTTACTAATTATACAGTCGCTAGATGCTACCACTATAGGCGTAGATATTACTGCAGAGCGGCCGGGGAGATCGTGGCTGGGAGGGGGGGGTCACGGATAGCAGCCCAGCCTGCCAAGGTGCCACCTCGGCCGGCTGGACAATCTAGGCGAGGCCGGAGGCTCTGCACGGGACTAGGCCTCACAACGCCACTCTGTCAGGTGAGTACTTTGTGCTATAGAGTCGATAAATACTGCTAGAGTCAGCATTCACTGCTGTAATCATAGCAGGTACCACCACAGTCAGTACGCACTGCTGTTAGATTTTTAAGAGTAGTTTTGATATATTTTTTGGCCCGGGCAACGCCGGGTATATAAGCTAGTGCACTTTCAAAACTAATTTCTTTAGAACTGCTTTTTGTGTTAAGTTTGTTGTCCTTCCCCGTACCTCCAATTAGCATGGTTGGCTACGCACGGTGCAAAAGAAGTTCAACGTACATACATACACAGGCAGGCACACATTCGCATGGGCACACACACACAGACACGAGCACAGGTGTGCTCTCACCTGCAGGCAGGTGATGGCGTCTTCATGAGCACGAAACGACTGCACGCTGGCGCCCGTCGTGAGGTCCCACATGTCCAGCTTCCCTCCGTCTCCCCATCCCCGGCACACACACACACAGACAAAGATCCCCCATATTGCCTTAACAGACTTTTGGGACAAATGCTGTTAGTGAGCACTGATGAAGGCCAGCACAGCACATGGGGGGGGGGTGGGTGGCCAGCACCACGCCCGAGTGGCGATGTTTGCACACCACAGTAGGTACTCATTTGAGGCTGAGTCAACCTAGGGTCGGCCCAGGACCGTTTCTGAAAATCGTCGTTGTTGTTGGCCGTGAGCGGGAATTGAACTCGGGTCGCCGTAGCGCGTCGCGCTAAACGCTCCACTACCGCTCCCCAAACACAGACACACACACAGAAACGCACACACACAGACAATACGCTCAGCAGCATAAATGCCAATGTCGAGGTCTGATAGCCACGAGAGGGCTACATTAACAGTTAATCATAATTTACTACAACATTTATTTCCGTACCATTCTCATAGGACAAGGCTATCACAGAGGCGCAGCTATATTTCACAGACACATTCTGCGGTAGATTCACAGTGGAGGAGCGGGGGGGGGGGCGATGATGTTGCTGCTGCTGCTGCTGCTGTGCGTGATACCCACCGAGCGACTTGGCATTGAGTCATTTTTCAACATTTAGAGAATTTAAAGCGTGTCGCGGGGCACACGACGGACGGCCTACTCTTTTTGAGTGACGTCACGGGATCTTGAACGTCGGTGTGCGCGGTGGGACTAAGCTCCGCGGAGTTTCTGTACCCCCCTTTCTGCGTCGCGGTTTTGTACTCTGTACCGGACTCCAATTTGGAGGGGGAAAAAATAATCCGTGTGTATGCGTGTGTGTACGTACGCGTGTGCGTGCGTGCGTGTGTGTGATGGTGCTCCCGCGAATCACCGGACGCGGAGAGGAGGAGTCCCGGCTCGGGGAGGAACGCGATCGCCGAAACGGGGCTGTAGGTGTAGACGCTCCGCACCTCCTGCCCTGAGCACACACAGACAGAGTCCCCCACGTATAGCCTTTAACAGACTGCTGGGGCAAAGGCTGTTAGCCAGAACCTCACACACACACAACAAAAATCCCCCGTATAGCCTTTAACAGACTGCTGGGGCAAGGGCTGTTGGCGAGAATCTCACACACACACAACAAAGATCCCCCGCATAGCCTTTAACAGACTGCTGGGGCAAGGGCTGTTAGCGAGAACCTCACACACACACAACAAAGATCCCCCGTATAGCCTTTAACAGACTGCTGGGGCAAGGGCTGTTAGCCAGAACCTCACACACACACACAACAAAGATCCCCCGTATAGCCTTTAACAGACTGCTGGGGCAAGGACTGTTAGCCAGAACCTCACACACACGCAACAAAGATCCCCCGTATAGCCTTTAACAGACTGCTGGGGCAAGGGCTGTTAGCCAGAACCTCACACACACACACACACAAAGATCCCCCGTATAGCCTTTAACAGACTGCTGGGGCAAGGGCTGTTAGTCAGAACCTCACACACACACACACACAACAAAGATCCCCCATATAGCCTTTAACAGACTGCTGGGGCAAGGGCTGTTAGCCAGAACCTCACACACACACACAACAAAGATCCCCCGTATAGCCTTTAACAGACTGCTGGGGCAAGGGCTGTTAGCGAGAATCTCGCTCACACACACACACAAAGATCCCCCGTATAGCCTTTAACAGACTGCTGGGGCAAGGGCTGTTAGCAATAACTCACACACACACAACAAAGATCCCCCATATAGCCTTTAACAGACTGCTGGGGCAATGGCTGTTAGCGAGAATCTCACACACACACAACAAAGATCCCGCGTATAGCCTTTAACAGACTGCTGGGGCAAGGGCTGTTAGCGAAAACATCACACACACACAACAAAGATCCCCGTATAGCCTTTAACAGACTGTTGGGGCAAGTGCTGTTAGCGAGTAGCACTTATGAAGGCCGGCACGGCGCACGAGGGGGTAGGTGGTCAGCACCACCGCCCTTTGTCTCCCCAGTGGCGATGTTTACTACACCGCACCTTGGGGAGGCCCAGAACCGTTTCAGATAATCGTCACGAGTGTTGACCACGAGCGGGAATCAAAATTCGGGTCGCCGGGTTCATACCGCAGCGCACACCAACCGCTACACAACCGCTCCTCACACACAGATGTAACAAGAATAATAATCATAATCAGAACGTCGGTTACTAAAGAGAGGGGGCCATTTGGGTGCATCTAGCTGATTATGGCAGGAAACAGAGACAGGCTGCAAGGTGGCCAGAAACCGGTGCCAACGATTGTCCAAGCTCCGAGGTCTGCCAGTAGGGGGCCACGATTGCTGTGTGTAATCTCAGTTGTGTAATTTTTATGATTATTTATTATTACTATTTCAAATTTTGTCAAATTTGGACCGTGACGCCGGCGACACAGTGGCCTACCCTTGCGAAAGACATCATGAGATCTCTAACGTCCGCCATGAAGCAAACGGCGTGTGGTGTTTACGGCGAATGCACCCGCGGCGTTAACCAGGACGACCGCTGGGTCTCAACCGCGAACCTCTACAACGGGCGCAGCGAAGGAGCGACCGTTTTGCGGCCGCGTCACCCACGACGACAACGATCGCTTGTTTTTATAGAGCACCCTGTGTCTCAAAGCGCTTCGCATGCGACGATCGACACACATTGCATCTATATTTCTAACGTCTCAAAGGGCACCCTCCAGCGGCAGCTGTCCCTGTGCGGCACAGGGTGACTCGGCACCCAGCGATCGCTCTCTTTACCTGTGCGCAGAGACCAGATCTTCACTGTGCAGTCACTGGATCCACTCGCCAAGAAATCCTCATCGTCCGCGCAATCAAGAGCCTTCCCTGAACACACGGCAATGACACACACTCCGATTTAGCGATTGCTCTGGTTCAGTAACGACCCCAGTTTAGCAAAGGCCGTAGTTCAGCGAAGGTAAATTTTTACCGATGGCGGTGGCGGTGGCGGCTGGGGCGATGGCCACGCAGGTGACGCTGCCTGTGTGCCCGCCGAGGTTGGCTTCCTCCGTGCCCGTCGCGGCGTGCCACAGCTTCACCGTCGTATCGCGGCTGCAGGCGACGTCGCAACAACACGGCACAGAGCACACGAACAAATGCTCGTACAATACAAAAATGCCATCGTGAAATATGCACAGGGAAGTGACAGGGCCCAGAGGTACCTCTATTTTCAGAGGTTCGCGGTACGATTGCAGTGGCTGCCCTGGTTATTACTGCTGGTGGATTAAGCGTAAAATACTACGCACCGTCTGCTTCACAGTGGTTCGTTGAAGATCCTGTGGCGTTATTTCAAACAAGCAGCCCATTGTGTGCTAGGCATCACGGTCCAATCGAAAAATTACCCCCAAATTACTGAGCTGTGCCGGCCCAGTATCGCGGTGGCTAGATGTTAACTCCCTCGCCTGGTATGCGCCTGTATATATGGAGTTTGCGTGTCTCTCTCTCCGTGGTTGCATGGATTTTTCTGAGTACTCCAGCTTTTCCCTCCACATTTAGAAACGTACATTTAGAGGATTTGGCTGCAATAACTTTCTAGATGATGATGAGCACACTTCGTTGAGCTATCATTTGTGGCCAGGTCACTTCTGAAGAAGAGCTACGTCGCTCAGTGGGGCCTTACCTGATAAAATTGAAAAAATAGTTTGGTTTCAAATAGTTTAGTTTTAGTTCCTTCCTCCGGGGATGGGCTTGAGTCCATCACCGCTCTTAGGGACAATGATAAGTTGATAAGTTCAGCAATGTGCGTGTGTAATTTATTCCTGCCTAAGTGCTCCTCCCTCTCCTTTGACCATTCCCCCGCCCCTTCCCCACTCCTCCCGGCACCCCTCCTTCCCCCTGCTCCCTACACTTTCTTTTTAAAGTTCTGTTTCCCCTCACCGTCCCCTCCTCATATTAAAATACACACAGCCCACTCGTGGTCCCCGATCGGTGGAATGGCGAGCCCACTCTTCCCCCCCCCACCTCCCCGTCGTTAAACTCAGGAGCACAAAGTTCGGGACTGAGGTCCGCGGAGTTTCTGTAACTGCCCTGCCTGCCTCATGCTTTGTACTCTGTAAAATACATAACTTCGACATACATATATGTATGATATATATGTATGTCGGTGTTATGTGAGTGGACGTGGGTTGACATCCACTCACGTAACATTGACATACATATGCATTTAATTGATGAAGTTATGAATGTATTCCCTTGTGTATCTGGTACTCTGTGTAAAAGCATTCGGTAAATAAATAAAACTGGGCTCCTATTAAAATAAAAATGTTGTCCGTCTCTCTCCGCACGAGGGAGAGGAGTACCCCCACCCCCCCCCCCCCCCCTCTTTCTCTCTCTCGCGAGAGCTCGCGTGTCCTTGCCTGCCGGAGACGATGTACGATCCGTGGAAGGCGACGGCGGTGACGAGGTCGCTGTGGCCCACCAGCGGCGTCACGGCGAAGCGCGCGTTCCCCCAGCGCTCCCGCAGCCGCCGCAGCCCCGCCGGGGCCACCGGCTCCACCTCCTTCTTCGCCGCCGCCGACACCACCGCCGGCGCCGTCATCGCCGTCGGACGCGTCCCCGCTTCTTTCGCTGACGGACACAAGCGAGCAAGCGCGTGTCGCTTGAGCTAAACCGGCCGGGGCTAGAAGGCCCGCGCACTTCCAATCTCGAACAGCACCTCCGGCTGCCGCTCCGTCGCGGCGGACGCCAAATGGCACGCACGCACGCACCTGTTTGTCCGGCGCGTGTTTTCTCTGGCGTCCCTCGCTCCGCGCCTCCTGCTTAGGCTGCTTCGCGGGCGCACACGCGGTCTCTGGGGCAACGTGAGCAGAGCCCGCGTCCCGCTTCTGCCGTGACAAAAACGGGAGGCACAACAGTGAAGTTCTCCACCGCGCTGCGGTAACATGGCGTCACGACGGCGCGCGCTCACCGCTATCGCAGCGGCCGGGTGACGATGTCGCGACAGCGCACGCTCACCACCGTCAACGCTGACAAGTCACAGCGATTACGGTCGCCCGTTCAGCCATCCGTAGCTCGTTTCTCCTTACAAGCTATTCTCTACATCATAAACGCATGCAGTCGACAACAAACCTTTTCGCTGTTTGTGAGTAGGATGCGAGTTTTCTTTCAAAGGATGGATGCATTTCTTTATCCATCCTATCGATTGCTCTACTGCTCTACTCCCTCTACACACATGACTGTGCCGCCGTTCACCATAGCAACACCATTGTGAAGTTTGCTGATGACACCACAGTTGTGGGGCTCATCTCTGGGGGGGATGAGTCTGCCTACAGGGACGAGGGTGGAGCGGC